ACACACACACACACACACACACACACACACACACACACACACACACACACACACACACACACACACACAATAAAAAAAAACAGCAGTAATTGCAGAAACTCACCCGTAACCAGCAGCCTTCCAGTTGTACTTGACATCCCAAATCTGTTCCTGGCGAAGCACGTGTAGCTGCCTGCATCAGATTTGCTCACATTCGCAAGCCTCAGAGTTCCGTCTGGGGAAAGTGTGATCCTATAGGAGTGTGCAAACAGAGACGGCAGGAACAAAAACTCATTTAATCATCAAATAAACCATAATTAATTTTTTTGTCAGTGTTCTGTAGAAAAGCAGACATCTTTTAGTGAGGAAGTGTGTTTACGTGGAGTCGGTATTGATTAGACCTGGGGAGGGGAGGGGGCTATTTTAATTAGATTCACAGAGAAGAATACTAACTTGTTTCGGTGATTACCTGTCATTCGTGTGGATAGGCAGGTTTCCTTTCTTCCATAAGATGCTTGCTGTGGGATAGGCTTTGGGTTTACAGTCCAGAGTGACTGTAGTTCCTGCCTTGGCTTTGAGCAAAGCTCTGAGGACGTTGCCTGTGAAGTCTGGAGGAGAGGCTGATGGGAAACAGTAAACTGTCTTTAGTACAAGACTGCAGCAAATCTCACAAGACATTTGAAGCAAGTTGTAATTCAATCTGTGAAAAATCATTAAATGCTACAGTGAGTGAGACAGACATTTCAAACAACTGTAAAGGAAGTTAAATAAAAAAACAGCAACATTTGAGCTTTTTTTTTTAATTATTTAACTTTATTTTTCCAATTGTAAGCCTCTTTGAATCAAAGTGTCTGATAATGGCTGAATGTAAGACATTCAATCTGAAAATAAAACTAACTTTTAAGCAAATTGACTGCAAGAGATAAAAGTTTATCACTCAACGGGGACTTGGGTATTTATCACAGCATCCACATCACATCAAAGTGAAGACTGTCACACAAAGATTATTTTAAATGTGTTTGACCCCCACCAAATCCTCCTCACTGACCCCTCTATCTGTTAATCCAGGCAACCTTTAAAAAAGACAGTAAGATGACCTTTTAGAGCCTTTGGTAACAATGATTTGGGGATTTAAAAGATAAATGCCATCCTACCTAAAACCATTAGTTCAGCAGCGAAATATATAACGCCATGTTTGTTCTCAGCCACACACTGGTACATGCCAGCATCAGATAGTGTCAGCACGGACACTGACAGGACTCCGTCTTCCACGTGGATCCTATCCTATGAAGAAAGGGATGACAGAAAGGTATTATTGCCTAAGAGTCATAATCTGGTAAATCTTTGTAAACAATTGTAAGAGTTGAACAAATGTAAACGCAAGAGAGGAATGAAGACCACAAAATCGTAGTTGATAAGTCCAGACCTTTTTTGGCCGTTCCGTTGCAAATAATTTGTAATAGTTCAGAAAATGTCACGAATTGAAAAATAAAACCAAAACAGAATATAAAGATATCTACGCAGCACCAGGAGAAACTAAATTCAAATTTTCTGCACTCATAGATCCTCTAAGTACACAACAAAATTCATTTAATGGCTAAAAAAGTGGATTTTACATGATATGTAACCTTTAAGACGAACTTGCTCATTGTTTTTGCTAGGAACGGGTTTTCAGCCATTTTTGAAAGAATCCTTCTCTGATATTTAAGAACCATTTGGATGATTTATTTGTTCCTATAGATGTGTCCATTATTCACAAACTGCTTCCTTTTAGTATAATGTACTGAAAAAATAACAGAGTAAGCAAACTCCTTATATGTACTTGCAGCTTAGCTCTGATTCATCCAACATCTGTCTCTTGTCCTTTAAATCAGGGGTCATCAACAAATTTGCTCAAGAGCCAACATTTTTCTAAGCATACAGCGAAGAGCCTATTTTTCATTAGTCATCTTTTTGTTAATTAAGGCCAGTCTGTTCTATTTATTTCAAACCTTGCTGTCTATTTATGACAGCAGACATTTTATGAAAGCATATTTAAGCATACAAAAAATCTTTATTTTGTTTTGATTGAAGTTTTAATTGAAAATTTACTTGACAATCTCTCTTCATTAAACAGAACAAATCTAAATGATAATAAATAATAAATTATATTCACACTTAGATTCCTGCTTTTAATTATGTCTTTTTTTCTAATTTAGCTTGTGGCCTTCATATGGCCCTCAAACCACTGGTTTATTATCGCCTGTGTCTGGAAATCACTGGACATATTTAGAAGGACACATCCAGCCTATATAAAGTCTCACACTTAATGGGACATGTGAAAAGTGGACCAGGAGGTGAGGAGAGACAAACATTTCTGAAGGCATAAACAGTGTAATACAGAAGGATTAAGGGCCTGGATCAGACAGGTAACCAACAAGGCAGTGATCAGCAAGACTGAGACCCAGAGTTCCTTTCTGGAGATGAGAAAACCATCAGTGCAGCCCTCCATCTCTAAAGGCTTTATGGCAGAGTGACAGGCAGAAGTCATTACTCACTGAAAGGCAAAAGATAGACCACAGACTCTCAGACCAGAAGAAGCAAAATCCCCCGATTTGATGGAACACAGATTGAACTTTTTCGGCATCATCTCCTCTGTCTGGATTTCTCCATGCTTCTAAAGCAAAGGGAGGCAGAGCATCACCTCATCACCATCATGTCTACAGTGAAAAACTGGGTACCTTTGACGTTTGAATCGATTCGGTACCAATATAAGGTACCTGGGAATCGGTACCGGTACTTAACGGTACCAATTTTCGGTACTTTTTATGTGTGTGTTTTCAATAATAAACTTTTGTTTTTTTATTTCTCAATATATATAAAATTAAGAAATATCAAGACAACATCCAACTCTTTGTATTGTAACATCAGTTGTGTAACTTATTTCTTTAAAGTGCAAACTCTTGAAAACAACAAGACTGTTTTGTCTTATTGCACAAATTAAAATCCAGCTCCACGTGTTTCTATTGATGTCATTTCCCTGCTAGAAAAATGTGTGATGGAGGTCCATGGAAAGCAAATAAGTTTCATTTAAATCAAATAAGCAAAAGAGGATGGATACAAATAAATAAAAGGTATTCAAGCTACGTTTTGAGCATCCAAAACGCTCCAACACTTCAAGTTGGCTGCTTGTGCTCTTTAGGTCAGACGCGTTCGGACTGTCGACAAGTGCCTCTGTTGTTTTCCTCTGTCGGTCTCTGTTTAATGGCGGACGAAATAAAGAAAGTGGCGGTATTTTATTTACTTTGAGCAAACGAACGTTGTGTTCACAAGATAATTAATCCACCAGATAATTCAGAGGTGGTCTGTTCGGCGAGTTTTACTCCAGGAGCTGTGAGGCTTTCAAGCTAGTTCAGACCGAGCTCTGCCTCTGTTTACCAGTGGCTGCTGCTGCTTTTGCATGATGCTGCATTCAGGACAAGCATGGAAAACTCACCACTCTTGCGCCAAACCGGTCGCAATAATGCGTTTAGGTACTGAAACATGGTACCGTTTGATGTTACATGAATAGATAATCGGTAGTACCGACAAAATTCGGTCTTTACATCAAAAGGTATCGAATTCGGTACTCATCCCTAGTGATGAGATGGTCATTTTGAATTGGGAGACTAGTTTGGACAAAGGGCATGATAGGTGCAGAAGAAACAGCAAGCATAAGCCTTAGAGTGCCACAACCAATAAGCCAGCAAGTTAAGGGAAAAGTTCAAAACAATCTAGAAGAGCTCAAAACTAATCCTGGAACAACCCAGCAAGATGGCTGGATCTGAACCCAGAAGATGGAGAGACACATGGATGTGCAGCCTTTAAAAATACATTTTTGTTATTGTGATACATTTTAGCGGAATGATAAAAAGAATAAACTGAATCCATATGAAACACAATAAAATGTTGAAAAAAACTTGGCCAAAAAATGTTCAATACCACCGATTTCCTTTCCAATTCCAATACCAAGTAAAACTCAGGCTGGTATTGGTGATACTGATCCGATACAGATACTTTGTGCAAATACACCCAATGTTGCTGGTAAATCTAAAAAGGGAGCATTTTTCAAATCACTGCTTCATAAAGAATATAAGACATCAGAGTAATTTATTTAGATGTATTGATGTAGTATAGCCGAGCTAATACAACAGAAAAACCAACCGAACCGGAGGACACAATCCTATAAAAAAGTAGTAAAATAATAAAACCATTTAATAAATAATTGTTTAGTAATCAAGAACTACTATAAAAATTAAAACTTACATCTTAATTTATGAACATTTTAACATGAAAACATGAAACATGTAACATCTACAGACTGAGTGACTGAGCACGTGCCACAGTGCTTACACATTACACAGGCGGAACAAAAAGTAGTTCCCACCAGTATTTCACAATTCTTCCACAACATTTCAATAGTTTACTTACTTTCCACTGTGTTCCTAATTATATACATTACCTGAAATGACTGAAGTATCAAAGTATCCATATTTTGATTTTAGTATTGATTCTAGAGCATAAAGTTCTGGTATCTGTAGTATCAGTATTTCAATACCGATCTGCACGTCACTACCAAAATGGCCATCTGGAAAAAAATAACCTTTTATTACTATGTAGATGGCAAATGCAAATTCAGATTTTCTTGCTGTAAAAATTCCTTCTAAATTAAAAAAAAATGACATTTAGAAGTGTTTCTTTGAATATGATGTAACTCTGGTAATATGTAAAGCTTTGCCCCAAGTTTTATTAAATGTTGATAAAAACAAACAAACAAAAAACATTTCAGAATCCAGCTGGAATCAACCAAGTTTAAAGCTACTGATATGAAAGACAATATGCATTTCTCTAGTGGTTTAGAGTGAGGTGTGCAGCTCTGTATAGTATATTTCACAGTAGATTAAGCCCATTGTTGCTAAATCTCAAGGAGCTCAAATATTCACCATGAATAATAAACAACAACCCTCAACTCCATTCAAATAAAATGGAGCAATCTCTTGGGAACCAGACCGATCCACTCTATATGACTGTGTAATCTGCTAAGGTGAAGCAGAAACAGCGACAGTTAAATTCATGTCGCCCATCTTTAAGTTGCACCCAGGAAAACAGCAACATGTTTTACGCCCGGCTCTTTAAAACGCAACGATGAGCCACAGATGAGGACTTCTGAATGAAACACTTGTAGGTGGCAGGAATTTACCTCTGAGAGGAGCTGCTGGCCGTTCTTCAGCCACGTGTAGGAGGGTTTGGGCTTGCCGTTGGCTCGACATTCCCAGTAGAGTCTGTCCTCTATGGCCAGGGCTGTGTCCTTCATGGTCTGGATCCACTGGGGCTTGGCTGAGGACATAGAAATATACTCTTGTGAAAAATCTCACAGGAACCTAGAGGACAAATTCCAAAAAAGCAACACTCTGTCATTAAATATGCTTCGTCTTAAATAGTTCAAAGGAGCCATAGGTTGGTAGCTCAAGCAGAAGGGGTTTGTCTTTAAGGGCTCGGAGGAAAGAAGATTGAATTTTTCATTGCTTATATATGCTGCGAGCCCACGGCTACACAAGACAGCCATTAAACACTGAATCACAAAGCGGGAAGCTGGTGGAATAAAAAAATAAAATAAAAGCACCAAAATCACCGCCCACCTGAACTTCACCTGTCACCTCAGCCGAGCGTATAAAAAAATCATTACTTTTGCACACAACTTCCTTCCTGCATGGCATTTTCACAACTTTTCAGGATATTTCATGAGGGAAAATACAGCCCTCTTAATAAGCATAGCTCCCTTTGCAGGCACTATGCATTCTGCCAATTCTAATGTCATGGGTGTCATTTTTCCCTCTTTTTACAATTTTCAAGGAAAAACATCAGCTCAAAGGAGCAAGGGTCCAAAAAAAAACATAAATTCTTAGAATCCAAGATGACATTAAAGATTATTTTTGCCTCTAAAGTACCAGGCCTGTTGGACATTATGTCTTCCTTCTGATTAGTTTGACACATCTCAAACAGAAAGCAGACTGATTTAGACATGTGGCTTTAGTGGCAGCACATGACTAAACATAATAAAACATATTCTATTGTGACTGGCTTTCAATTCCACGAAAAATCCTTTAAATGCTCATCTGTGGTGTAGGCATCTTCATCACAGAGCTGAATCATACTAAGCACATGCTTGGTTTTGGTTATTTTTGTAAAAAAAAAAAATCCACCACCAACAACAACAACAACAATAAAAACTCCAATATAGTCTCTAAATAGTAAAACTCTTAATGTTACTGGTACAAATGTATTTAATAATAAAAAAAATCAATATTTCAAGTTCAAACTATAAGGACAATATTGTAGTTTATTTTTTTGTTTGCTTACTTTTTGTTACCAATAAAATTGCCAAGCAAACTGTAGTTTTAACAGGAAACAAACTATCAATAATAGTCATTTGTGAAGATGTGCAGTAGAAAAATGTTTTTTAGTAAAATGTTTAACCAAACTGTTTTCTCGGAACTTAATCAATAACAAAATATGAGTTTTGTTAAGATAACATTGATTGTTGATTTACCAGGAGGTTCGGTGGGAGAATTTGCTCCATTTTCTATTGTTTTTGTTGTGTTTTTGTTGCCATTGATCACCTGTGATGGATGAATCAAAATGCAAGATTGTCTGCTTTCCGATGGTATTCTATACAGTATACGTGAACAATGTTACATAAAAAACAGCTCGTTTAAAAAAAACATCAAAGTAAATTATGACAGAATCAATCATAAAATTCCTTTTCAAATTACCAACAGTAACAGCTTGTTTGTTTCCAGTTTTCATAAAAACAGATAAAACACTTTTTTTTTATCTCAATAGTGTCTTGACTTAGTAGAGTTAGCATCAACAAAGTGAAGACATTTTTCAAAATGGATGATATTTAGTGTATTTTACTTCATATCAGTGATGTTTGGTACCACCGATTTTCTTTCCGATTCTGGTACAAAGTAAAACTTAAGCTAGTACTGATCCAATACTGATACTTTGTGCAAAATGTGTCTGGTAAATGTTAAGAAGTAGCCAGGCAGAAGAAAAAGCAGTTCCTACCAACTGTGTATGATTTAAATAAGATTTTGATAGATCAAATATTTTCCACTGTGTTCCAGTTAATGATATGCATTACCTGAAATGACTAAAGTATCAAAGCATCAACCGGTATTACCGGTTGTATTGATTTTTCTGTATGGATCCGCACATCACTACTTCATATGCATTTTAATGTTTTAACAGTAATAGTTGGGTTATGTTATAACGACAGAGTACCATAAAAAGCCAGTCGACCAGCAGCCATGTTCTTGCCCATCTTGTTCTCAGCCACACACTCGTACCCTCCCGTGTCATCCTGCTGGAAGCTAGGGATCTCCAGCACAGCGTTGGAGTACTTCATTTTAACTTTGCTGGGGAACGGGACTCCGTTGGCTCTCCTCCAGGTGATCTCTGGGACCGGGCTGCAAGAAACAGAGGAAGCAAACCTTAAACTTGTCGCTCAGGCTGCATGTTGTGTCTGTCACAATCCAGCAACAAAGAACTGTTTGATGAAGTCTAAAAACCTACTCTGTGCTCCCCCCACTGGATAAATGGCTGAGTCTAAATCCAATCCCAACACACACACGCACAAAGCATTTCTGCAAGTTTATTCCACACACTGAGAAACCTAATTGCCAGAGCAACTGTACTATGAAGAAATCCAAAGGTTTCTCACCTGGAATAATAGGCGAGAGGAAAATTAAAAACATTCTTTGAGGAATTTCAGCTTACTTCCCAAGGGCGAAACACTCCAGAGTAACTGTTGATCCTTTTGCAGCAGGTACATTGTCAGGGAAATTAACTTCTATTTTCGGCTCATATTCACCCATCACTCCTACAAAAAGCAAACACAAGAACCTGCTCACTCTTCCATTCTTTATAGCTCACAAGCAATATGGCTGGCACTGTGAACTAGACAATGGTTCTGTACAACCAACAGAGCAGAAACAAAAGACACACAAGCAAAACACTCTCATGGGCAAACTCGTAGCAGTGCCTCACTTAAGTGTAATATCACCAGGAAGTTGTGAAATAATAGTGCAGAATTATTTAAATTTCTGGGAGAGGAGGGAATTAATGTCTTGTTTTTTTTTCCAGTCTGCAGCTTTTTATCTATTATTTCAAAGCTTGAGTGGGCAGTTTTATTGTTTATATCAGTATTCAGGGAAGGCAGTGAAGATCACGATCAGACAGTGATGCAATGGGATTTAAATTTATGCGGCTACATGTACAGTACACTGAGTGGAAACTAACTGGTTGAGCCACCAGAACACTCAATGTAATGGTCCAGTGACGTATGACTCATGTTTAATTCATTCAAGGCGATCTTTATTCAGTCTTTCTATGAAAGCATAACAGAGAACAAAACAACAAGACCCCCAAGAAGGAGCTGGAGAATTCAAGGGAAAGCAGAAAGAAAAGCTTTTAGAGCAAATGCAAATTATAAGAAAGCCAAGTCAGCAATGGGAAGATTTAGGTCGCTTTGTTTGCTCTCCATTAGCACTCAGTGCCTCAAAATCAGTGAGGCACAACAGGCCAAAAAAGCATTCATGCTAATCTGTTGATAACAGCGACCTAAAAAATAAGGAGCCCATAAAAACAAGACTAAAAAGCATCCTTGTCAAGCCTTACCGTCCGTCCTGAGAATGAGAGACGTAGGCGAGCTGTGAACCTTGCCCTTCGTGATGCTGTTCATCACAACACACGTGTAGTTACCCACGTCAGAGCGCTCCACCTTTGAGATGTAAAGGTTGCCCGTCTGCTGGGAGACGAAACGCCGGTTGTCTTGCTGAACGAAGTACGGATACTCGTTGAAGACCCACGCATAAGTAAGGTCTAAAAGACAAACAAGGACTGAGAGTAAGCTAGCTAAACGAGACCACTAAAAAAAGGGTAATAATTGCAGCAAGGTTTTGATTTCAGTCTTTAATCTTTTGTGTCCAAATGAAAGCAGGCGCTTTTTACCTCCGGAGGAAGTAGGAGTGCCACACAGTAACACCACTCCTTGTCCTTCTCGCACCGACACAGCGCTTCTGGTGTGAACTTTGAAATGATCTAAGTCTGAGGAAAGTAATGAAAGGAGAAATAGATCACCCCTGGATTTTACATATACAAAGGAAGTGCAGCAGAGCTGTGTGTGAAACCCAGCGCCAGAAAGATCCTGACACAAGATGGTAAGAAAACTAATGAGAATTTTTTTACTTCTATAACTCCTGGAAGGAAGAAACTGACCTAAGACCTGAGCGGATTATTGGGTATAATTTCTACACTGCATGCACAAATATTAGGCAAATTGTATTCATCTAAAGCGAATTATTTTTCAGTAAATACAATGTTCTCAGGCAATCCAAAATGTCATTAGGACTTAAACCTGAATGTTTAACAATAGAAAAGTGGGTTTTGACTTGCTCAGGGGAATATATGCATGAATATAATTACTAGGCGACTAAAAGAACAGAATGATTTTTTTCCCTAGCTTGTTTATGTGTTTGCAGTTTAATGCAGTGGTAAGTTCAACCCAAAGGTGCTAAAAAAGTATTTTTGAGTTTATAGTTTATTTTTAAGTTACCTCAATTGTAAATCTTTAGTTTGAGAAAAAAAAATTGTTCAGATTTAAGCAAAAAAAGTGAAGTTACTATTTTCTAATATTTGAGTGGAATACATGGAATATGATAGCATGCAGATAGTGGTTTCACTGAATGCCGCAATCATTTTGCTGCACCACAGTGCAAAAAAAAAAAAAAACACCTTCCAGAAACTGGCAGCAGGTTTTGGAGGAGATTTTCAGTCAATCTTCACAGTTAAAAAAGGTCTAAAGAGCTCATCCGTACTGACAGCAGCTCATGCCACCAACCTTCCTCCACCTTACTGGTGCCTATTAGTTCTCCAGTAAGGGACTGGCCATCTGTTCCAAACAGACTAACTCTCATTTCATCTGTTCTTAAAGCTCAAAAACAAATTTTTTCAATTATATTCCTTAACCAAATTTTTTCAAATTAAACTGATTGCCTTTAAGTACTTGACATTTTGCATCTTTTGTCACAGTACACAATGAAGTGTAATGTGCAGATTTATGAGTAAGAGTTTTTTTTTAGTTAATTTGCACCTTGTCTTTGAACATGTGTATGAAAAGATTGATAAGGTCAAAATGCTCAGTTTCTCAGTAGAAACATGTTTACCATGATATGTAAGCTGAGAACATGTCACAACTCTGCTGTTGAAACAGGTTCATGGAGGCAGTGAAGCATAAGGCTTAAATGTTAATCTAAAAGGGCTATAGCTTTAACTTTAATTTATAGGTTACATGTATGTCTAAATATTAAATGCTAAACCTAAAGTTGTGAGTCTGAATGTAAATGTTGTAGCTAAATGTCAAAGTTTGCATTTAAATATTTCAGAATGGAACACAGACTTTGCCTTTTGTTATGATGTCATTACCCTGCGACAAAATCGAGCGCTAGCACTGCTAATGGTGCTAACGCTTATAAGACTTCCCTATAAGACATCAATCTTGCAGTGTCAGAGCTGCACTACAAATTGCCAAACATCAGGTACCATCCATATTGTTTTCAATGAACACATATTGAATTTAAATTTTGAATGCAATCTTCAGCAGCGTTAGCACCGTCAGCAGCATTAGCAGTGTTAGCATTTGTTTTAGTAGCAGAATGATGATGTCACAACAAAAGCTGCGCACCAACGGCAGAGGCTGTGTTCCATTCTGAAATTCTTAAATTTAAGCTTTTGCTGCAACTTTTAAGATTAAATTTGGACATTTATATATAACATTTAAATGTAACATTTAGTAAAAACTAGCAAAATGTAAGAACAATGAGCTAAATAACAATAAAATGTTAGTGGAAAATTTACCTTGGATTTTAAACTGAGAATGTGAGCTAATTAATAAAAATGTGGTAATGACATTTTTTTTTGCATTTCATTTTACACTTGGCGCCCCATATTATATAGTAGTGAGCTGTAGCCTAACATTCAGAGTCAACTCACATCAACAATGCAGCATGCTGATAAATGCAGTTTCATATCAGGAGATTTCCTTTTTTTGTTGTAAAAAGTCAAATAAAATATTTAATAAAACTTACAGGCAAACAGTAGACTGGCTCTCCTGCTCAGGATAGCTCCAACAGTGTTGTAGGCCATACACTGGTACATTCCTACATCCTGGTAGCGATCCAGATTGCTTATAATGAGGTTGCCCCCAGACAGACGCCGCCGCCGATCCAGGCCCAGATTTATGAGAGTCCCGTTTAGTGACCATCTGTGAGGGCAAAGACGCCATCAGTCGCTGGCAAATCGTTCTGTCCATCTCTTTCTATCAGACAAGGTGCTTTGACAAGACATGAATGAAAACTACATCCCACTACGCTAACCTACTCAGTGGAGGATAATAATGTACAACCTCACTCACGCTGGTATCAGTAAACTAAAAAGAGTTGTAGAATAAATTGAACAGAAAATATAGTCATGATCAGGTTTGATAATTCTTTTTTTAGTAAAAAAAAAAGACTCATCACAAGTCTGAAGATGTTTTAAACATGACGGTTGATTATGATGTGCATGGTGATCAAAACAAATCTGCTGATGATAATTTGAATGACCTCAACCTCAGCACTCACTTTTTATCACTCGCCTCCAAAAGGCAAATGTTGTTGCCTATGTGTGTGTGTGTTTGTTTGTTTGTCTGTTACTAAAAAATGATAATGAACCATGAAATAAATTTTAATGAAACTTGAACAAGATAATCACTGGTTGCTCAGATACAACTGATTAACTTTTGAAAGCAACCCAAATCTGGTATTCTAAAACACAAAAATGTCCACGGCTCGGTCAGTCCTACAAAAATTGACCTAGAAATTAGTGTGGTAGCTCAGACTGATCCCCAATTTATGTACTAAAATATAAAAAAAGATTGTACAAGATCTTAGTTTTGCCAGTAACTATTTGAACCTTGGTCAACTCTATCAGTCTGTTTGCAAAGTGAAACATTTAATGAAACTTTTAGAAAGTAATAATTAAAGGAGACACGTCATGCTTTTAAATACTTCTTTTTTCACATTTGAATCATTCAGTTGGGGTCTATATAAAGTGGAACTGCAATGCTTTGGTCTGAATTCCTCCTTATTGTAACTCCACAAGCCCCTCTTTCACCCCTGTTCTGAGGTGTGTCTCAGAGCAACTCGTTTTGAGGCTGTCTCTTTAAATCCAACCTTAACACCCCGGCCCCCTCCAGCTTCCAGAGCTGTCCATTCCAATTTGAAAAAGAGGGTTTATGACTATCTTGAGCTTCAGAAACATTTTCATTTCAACTTAATTAAACAATGTCAACAACAGAAGACTGGTCCATCCAGCCTTACACGATGGAGCCAGAATGAGAGGAGAATGAAAACCACAAAATTGTAGTTGGTACGTCCAGACCTTATTTGACAATTTTGCTGCAAATATTGTGAAGGTATAGTTTAGAAAATGTCATAGAAAAAAGAAAACAGAACTGGTTGAAAAATATGACCCAAAAAAGAATATAAAGTTATCTATACAGCACCAGAAGAGACTAAATTAAAATGTTCTGCTCTTTTTGAGACTCCAAGTACACAACAAAATGCATTTAACAGCTAAAAAGGTGGATTTTGCATATGTCCTCTTTAAGTGCACATTTATAAACTGATTAATATTTGGAGTCAGTCTAATTCAAATTGAACACGACAGCTTATTGACCTTAACCGACACAAAACTGGCTGTAACTCAGTCAATTTTGCATTTATTAAGCTAATATTTGATGTAGCTAATAATGTGAGATCACTCACATGAGATTGGACATACATTTGTTTTGAAGGGGACCAAAATGGTTTCAACTTTGTCATTTCTCAGATGATTTCAGTTTAAAACTCTGGGTGCTGGTGGGCAATCTGCATTCCTTCAATGAATGCTAATCCTTTAATTATAAGACCATGCCTGTGCTTTTCAGATCTGGTTTATTTGTTATTTATGTGTTGTTAAAACCTTTTCAGACATCCCTTTTACCCCCAATTGGTCTAAGGATGAATTTTTCATTTCATCTCTCAAATAAATCATTAAAATTCCTAACCTGATATGTTTCGCGGTCTGCTCAGCACATCTGTCAAAATAAAGGAGTCCAGAGGAGATGTAGCAGATGAGACCTTTTTCACCATCTAATATCAGTGAGATTTGACCTGTCAGATCAATAATGCCTTTCATGTTGAGTCAGTCTGTTAATAGGAGATGCCCTTTTTGACAAGCATTAATACAGTATCTGCCAGTCTACGCCTGACTGGTTTAAACTTTAGGGTTTTAACCACAGGTGGATGGCCTTAAGCTCTGCCAGTTGATTGCTTCGGCCATTACGATTTAGTGAGAATCCAGCAGCAAAGCTTCACTTTATTAAAAAAGTAGCTTTTTTATATTCAGCTGAAAGAGGAAGACAACAACCAGTCAACAAAAAGGCTGACAAAGAGACAGTAAAGCCAGGAACAATAATAAAACAGCTCTGGTTACTGGAAATACAATAAAACTGTTGTAAGATGCCAACAATATTTTTTTTTTGGTCACACCAGCTGCTCAACATGTTTAACATGTTTTAAACTGCGACAAAAGGGAAAAAAACTGATAAGGCAAATAGAAGGTATCATGACAACATGATACCTCCCTTGCCCACTTTTCAGTCTGCTCAAAGGCAAATAGAATATTAGCAGCCAGAAAGCACAGATTTCTTTAACAGGTTTGTTTTTTGCTCAGTTTTCTGTGCTTTTCAGTCTTTTTTGAGGTCCAGCTTCAATTGATTCCCCAAAACAATGTCTTGACATTTTTTTTTAATCTAGCAGATTTACAATTCTACAATCAGTTAAACAGAACATATGCAAAATCCATTTTTTAGGCTGTGAAATGCATTTTGTTGTGCACTTTGAGTCTATCTAGTGCAGAAAATGTGAATAGTCTCTCTATGTGCCGCATAGATATCTTTATTTTCTGTTTGGTCATATTTTTCAGCTTGTTCAGTTTTCTTTATTTTCGTTGATGTTTTCTGAACTACTCACAAAATTCGCCATCGAACTGCCAAATATGATCTGGACTTACCAACTTCAATTTTGTGGTTTTCATTTTCTCGCTCTGGGTCAGACTCTGGCTCCAACATGTAAGGCTGGATGGAAAAGTCTTCCCTTGTTCACATCTTTTCATTAAGTGAAAAAAAGGTGTTGTTGCTTTGGGACACACCTCATAAAAGGGGTGAAAGAAGAGCGGAGGAATTCAGACCAAAGCATTGCAGTTCCACTTTACATAGAGTCCAACCGAATGATTTAAATGTGAAGAAGAAGGAATTAAAGACAAGATATGTCTCCTTGAACAGAACAAGGCAAGAAGAAAGAAAAGGAAAATCTTGCGTCTGCTGTAAAACAAACATGCTTGTAATTTTTGCACAATTAATGGAAGCTGCTTTTAAATTTGACCCTTTTTTTATTCTTTCAAACCATAGCTATTTTGCTTTATCTTTAGGCTTGGAGTACCCAAAGTGATGTACGGTCTGTGCTCTGAGTGAGGTCTTACACTAGTTAGCATATTTGTAGCGTCATCACATTGTTTTAACACTAATTTGTGCAAACTCTTTACATCTGCTAGCCTCTTACTTTTTCCTTTGTGCTCATGTCCTGTCAGTAAAACCAAACTAAGCTGCTCTCATTCTCAATTTTCTTTCTGTTTCTACCATAAGGCAGTTTCTATAATGGTGAGAGAAAAGCTGCTCGTTAATACTTGACAGCGTTTACCTTTAAAGCAACAAAACTCTGCTGTGGTAAAAAAAAAAATCAGATTTTCTGTAGCACAATTAAACACAAGCATACGGTTGCCTGTTCTGTGGTTTTGGCTATTACTTGTGCCATAATCAGTCAGAGAGGAAGTCAGAAGTGGCAGAACGTGTATGAGTCTGTGGGTTTGCTTCTTTCTCTCTGTCATGTTTCTGTCTGCACACTGAGCTGTGCGTGCGCCCCGCGGGAGAGCGCTGTAACTCAGTAAATAATATAAACCAATGGGCTGAGGTCCCTGTTTGAGAAGCCGACACTCTTTAAAACTTTGTTGTACGAGTCGGAAAGAGCTTAGAATAAAAGCCAACCTGCCAGTTTACTACCCCAGTCCTGAATGCGGTAAATACTTCAAACTGCTTAAATTGCTTAAATGTCAATACATCCGCCAACTTTAAACAGTTGGTTTCCAATTTTTTTAATATTAAAACAGAAAAAATGTTTAATTTTTTTCAGTCTGTTATTCTATATTTACCTCTGACACTACTTCCTGCTGCCGTTAACCCGCTCCCCCTACAGGGATCATTAAATTTTAATCTTACTGTATCATACACAAAGCCGTTCCCTGCTATTCAAGGCAAGAAGAAGATTTTAGAAGCACTCATCAGTCTGGCTATAATCACCTCCTCTCTGTCACGTTAGATTAACATAATGTGGCATTATTCCACCTCTGACTTATTATTAGGGCCAAACATTAGCGCTTGGCAAGAGGTAACAGTGAGCTGATCTAACAAAAGATGCAATTTTGACTCTTTTGCGCGCTCCGTTTCAGCTTTCCAACGATTTCCTGGCATGAGAGTGTGAAACAAAAATATTTGCACAGCGGGTTTGAAAAATCTAATAAACGAGTCACCTGAGTGAACTCTTAAAGGCAAAAGGTTAACACATTGATTAAAACTGGTCTCATTATTCAACGAGAAAATCCTTTTTTTTTCTGTCTAAAACTGAGTGAAGATGGATTCAAGGACAGGTCATGTTTCAAGAAGGTTCCATAATTTCTTTTATTTTCTCTGAGCATAAAAAAAATCCTGTTTCTTTTCATCAGTGACGGTCTTTTATGTTTTCCTTACGTGGAAATGAATTCTGTCACAAAATTTCAAGTGATTTCTAAAAGTGTATATCCATGTCATTGAACAAAGATGAGTGCTTGATACCAACATCCATTACACTTCCACTGGTGCTGATTTGATTTGTTGGAGTCAGTAAACATCTAAAGAATTGAGTACATGGGTGATGTGTCAGAGCGCACCAACGTCTGAGTAAACTCACTTTTATTAAGCTTTTTAACCTTCAGCCACAACTTTTCCCTCCTCTCGACCTGCTTTGAAGAGCCTCTGCTGCTCTGTGCTACCATCATTGATTGGCAACAAGAAAAATGAATCACTCTGCTTAGAATTTATTTTTCTTTTCTTTATATATATATATATATATATATAAAGATGTAATGTTG